TAACGGGTTTACGATAGGCGGGTCCATGGCGGGTTGTAGTAGGACCCAACCTTTACGCGTCGAAACTCGTTATCGTTTAAACTAATTTTTTTTTTATATATATAATTTATAAGTTTTACGGGAGAATAATTAGAAACTAAAATGAATAACCTAAAATTTTAAATTGAAATCAAACATAAATAATGTAAGTGTCAAGAGTAAATAAAAATTAATATAAAACTAAAAATAACTAATTCATAACTTAAAAGACAAAACTTAAATAAAATAAATATAGTCTTTTCAAGCATAACCAACGCTATTCTGCTCCATTCAACACCATTTTCTTCCTTTTTTTTACTGCCGTGTGTTGACCGTTGTATATATATGCTTTTTTTTTTCCCTACATTTTCTTAGAGATTTTCGTAATCTTTATAGCTATTACTTCCACAATTATAGTGTAGTTGATTTATGTATTTGATACACTAGAGATACTTTATTTATTCATTAAGGGTCCATTTGGATGGAGGGATTTGGGGAGGGATTTGATTTGGGGAATGTATTTGAAATGACTCCAATTTTGGAGTCATTTGAAATCCATCACTATTGCTCCAAAATCAACTAAAAAGGAGGGGTGGGGATTTGAAATCCATCTCCAAATCCCTCAATCCAAACAAGTCCGAGGGATTTGTTATTATGGATTTGAAATCCCTCCCCCAAATCCCTCCATCCAAATGCACCCTAATATTATTATTTATTATACTATATAATGTAAACAAACCGACGTCGTTTTGTATGGCGGGGCGGGACGGGTTTCACGGGTATTAAAAAAAATTGAACCCGTCTAAGACCCAAACTCACGGTTCTTCACCATTTTAGGACTCAATCCTATGGATGGATCTATCCGTCCGGTTTCAACGGGGCGGTTTTTCACGGATTTGACGGGTGTAGCGGGTTGATGGGTCCGACTTGCTCACCCCTAAACGCATATATATGACATGGATGAACCAATTAATTAAATAATTTGTAGGTACTTTTTTGCTAAATGGTGAAAGTTGACTGGTTACGCGTTAGATTCGCTTCATTAAGCAATAGGAGACCATAAAATGGTGGAATTAGCTGTATGATCCGATTACCACTCCAATCAACAATCTAACGTATAAACATTCAAACATCACTAAGATGGACTAATATATAAATTGTAACAATAAAGCGTAGTTTGGTTGGGGAGATTAGTCATTATTAACTAAATAATATAACTTTATCTGATGTTTGGTATTTCTAATAATTTATCGGGTCGATCCTTAAATATTATGATATCATGACTTATCTTGCCTTCTAGGCATATTTTTTATTGAATCTTCCAAATTCAAATAAAACAATGGAGTTTCATTAGATTATTTCGTCTTATCTTGGCTAATCTTATTTTAGTAAATAAAATAATAAACAAATAAAAACTAGCCTATGTTTCATTGATTTTAATTATGTATTTATACATTGTAGCGTATTTGCTCTTCCCTAGAAAATAAAATACCATTAATAGAAAGTATAAATAATGGCATAATGATCATAATATTTATATATAAAAAAAAAAAATACTTAATTATTGTTGCTTATTCAAAATACCCGAAAAGAAATTTGGAGCTAACCCCCAAAATGGCAAAATCCATATTTTATTCAATTTTGGCAAGAATAGGAGGAATTACAAAAAAATTAAAGAACATTGAGAAGTTTTGCTAATTGACGTTTTCAATTAAAGTAATCAATCATAAGAAACACTATGCATGGTGTACTTTTTGAGACTTTTCTCCTTCAAATTCTTGTGATTTATTTTTAATTAAAATATCTTTTCCAAAATGCAGAAACCTTTTGACTAGATCTACAACTTGAAACATCCAAACACGGCATAAAGTTGCTATGGCGAATGAAATAGATATTTAAATTTCTTTTCACTTTTATTATTGGGCTGTTTACAAATAAGCTCATCAATTGGTATTTATTCATAAAGAGATTCAAATCAAAAACTTGATTACCAATAAGTTCATTCATAGTTTAGATTTTTGTAAAGGACTAAAATAACCCCTCATATTTTAATATGCTCCAATTTCATCCATAACTTTATTTAACCTCAATTTGACCCCAAATTTCACAAATTATTCAATTTTGACCCAAATTTTTTTTTTCAAATTTTTTTTTCCCACCGGATTCCGGCGTTGACTTTTTCGAATTTTTTTTCTTCTTTCTTTCTTTCTGTAACTTTTTTTTTCGTCTAAACAACAATATTGCTGTGATTGACAGTAATATTAACTATCTTACTGTTAAACACAGTAAAATTAACTAAACTACAGTTTAATACAGTAATATTGTTATATTAATCTCCAGCACACAGTAATATTAACACAACAAAAATCATTATTATTGTGTAATAGAGTAATATTACTATGTTGACCGTTCAACAAATGTAAACATAATAAAAAAAGCAAAAGAATTAATATTAACTGTGAGTGACAGTAATATTACTATAACAACAGTAATATTACCGTCAACCACAGTAATATTACAATAATAGACAGTAATATTATTACGTTACTCCGTGAATAACTCAAAACAAAATAATAATATTGATGTGGTTGACAACAATATTACTATAACAACAGTAATATTACCGTCAACCATAGTAATATTATTGTGTTTACAGTAATATTACAATAATAGACAGTAATATTATTACGTTACTCCGTGAATAACTCAAACAAAACAAAAAACCCAAAAAAATAATAATATTGATGTTGTTGACAGTAATATTATTGGCTGTGTTTGGTAAGCTTTTGGGCTTCCATTTCCATTTTATTTTGGGGAAAGATATTTTGGGAGAAAAATTTGAAAATTAAATAAAGTTTGTTTGTATTTTGGGAGGAGACAATTTGTACTGTAGCAAGTCAAATCATGTTTGAAAGGTGTTGGAAAAATGTATTTTGGAAGAAGAATTTAAAAGATAAAGTAATTTGATTTTGTATTTTAGTGAAGACAATTTTCACTGTAGCGGTCAAATCATGTTTGTTAGAGAGAGAAATATTTGAATTTATTTTGGAGAAAGTTTTTGAAAAGTGTGGAGAAAGATAATTTTCATTTTGGGGAAAGTTTGAAAAGAATTTGAAAACGGTAACAAACATAGCCATTGTGTTTACAGTTATTTTACTGTCAACGGTAATATAATTACGTTGACTTGTTAACAAACCAAACAAAAAAAAATAATAATTATTATTATAAATAAAAAATAATAATATTACATTAATTTACTGTCAACGGCAACACAATTACATAAATGTATTGTCAACGGCAGTACAATTACGTTAATTAACTGTCAGTGACAGTATAATTACGTTAATTTACTGTCAGTGACAGCAATGTTTTTAAATAATAAAAGTTATTTTAGATTTATTTAAAAAATGTGAAATAAAATTGCGCTCGTTGTAATTATGTAACGAGTGGGATTTTGTCAAATTTTCCCCGAAAAATAATGCCTACCCTATGATTACTAAAAAAGGTGGACTTGGTAAAAATCAAGAGGTAGCTGATGTGGTGTCTTGTTGTAAAGGTTTCCTAAATCAACGAGATTGCCTTGTTTGGCACGTCTTTGTCTACCCTCTCCTCAAACTCTATTAATAATCATGTTTTCCCCTCCTCCTTTCCCTTCTTTCCCTTTCTCCCTTCTCTCTCTCTCTCTCTCTCTCTCTCTCTCTCTCTCTCTCTCTCTCCTCTCTACCTTTTGCAGTTTTCCGTTGCATTAGTTTTCCGTTGCATTATCTATCTATCTTTCTTCCTTCAAGGGTTTCTCCGCCAGTCTAAAAACCTGCCGCCGCCTGCAATTACCCAATTTGCTGAATTATAATTCTCAATAAAATAGATAACAGGTATATTTTTCTATGGCTCAAAAGGTTTTCGTTTTCGTTTATTTTCTGCAATTTTTAAACAAATGGATTCATTGTGGTGCAATGCTCTTGGAGTTTATTCGGATTAAATTTGATTCATTTTCTTGACATATATTTCCCCTGAAGATCTGTGTTTTTTTTTTCCTTTTTTTCTTTTTCCTCTTTATTTGATTTAATCCTCAAACATGCCAAAAAAAACATATTATGAATTTTGAATCTTCTAAAATGCTACAGAAATCGTATGCACGTTTGTGGAATTGACAGAAATCATAATTTAGTTAGTCGGTTGGTTACTGTTTGTGAGATGTAGAAATGTTGATTATGTCAATACCTTTATTTTTTTATTTTTTTATTATTTTTTTATGAAGGTGTCAAAGTCAAATCTTGTATGAATGTAGAATTTTAATATATTTTGGTTCATTTGAATATTTTCTATTGGTAATTTTGATTTGTAGTCCACTTGTGTAATCTTTATTTAAAGAACAAAAAATGCCTTTCTTATTCATTCATTATGCTGTTATCAACGCCCTCAAGACAGCTGTATATTCTTTGAAATGTTTTTTTTTTTAATCTTTTTGGGTAGCAGGATTTATTTGTTGGAGCACTCAAAAAGTCAAAACTCTTTGTGGAATGACTATTGAGATGCTTTTTGAAATCATGTAAGATTCTACTAGGAAAAATAAGAAAAGGGTTAATACCATTTAAGCCCCTATGGTGGTGGTCTGAGTTTTAATGCTCGTGACATCTTCTGTAGTTTGAACTTTGTGCACATGACCTCTTTTATTTTTTAATATAAGCACAAAAAATTATCGTACTAATCGGGAGTAGGAAATTTTTGAAGCTACTTATATTAAAATAAAAAAAAGGGTCATATCACATATGCTATAATGAAAGTACAAGAGGATTCCGCACACAAAGTTCAAACCAAGGATAAATACTATTATTTACGTTAGGAAAATTAGTCATTTGAAATGAGAAGTTGGGAATCATTTAATTTCATATCCTACTATTGTGCGAGTTAGTAAGAAATTAAAAAGATAAATAAAAAAAATTAAAAAAAAAAAAACTTTTATTTATTTCACAGTTTTCATGACTATATGTGTAAAGCTGCTTTAATATGTGTACAGTTGAGAGTTAACACATTAATTGTATTTTTCCAGAGTACTTGATGGAGGTTAGGAATCAGGACCATCACTATGACTAGGCATTAAATTTATTAATTTAAAAAATAAAATAAAATTGAAGACTGTAAATGAAAATCAGTATTTAATTATGATAATGTAATTGTCAAAGAAAATGACTTGCCATGTGGTTTTGGAAAATGTCTGCAAATAATTCTTATTAATAGGCTTGTTTTAATTTCCTTAAAAAAATTGTGTCTTCAGATCTGACTTCCAACTGTACTATAAATCTGTCAGCATTCAATCCTTTTTTTGTCTTTTGTAGTGGGCCATGTTACAGCTTAAAAACACACCATAAACAAGGTTAAAAGAGATTATGTTTGTGTTCATACTTCATAGTATGTTTATTTGTTCTGTCTTAAAACTAGTTCCGTTGATGGTCGAATCTTAGCTACTCGTATATGTTACGTAAATTTATGCACTTAAGTATATGTTACTTTTCAGGTGATCTCCCAGAAGTTCTCTAGTGAAATTGTGCTTTGTGGTTTCGGAGATGAGGTATCTTTCTTATACTTGTGATTTTCGATTTTTTGAAATGTTCGAACTTTTTTCCTTATTGACGATAACTCCTAATTAAAATCAGATTTTGTGAAGCCTCCACTTGATGGACTGCTCCCCAAGCACAAGCCACAAAAATACATTAAAGAGGTGGTTTTTCATAGACAAAAGAGTTGGATAACAAAAAAATAAATAAAAAAAATCATTAAATTCGAAAGTTGAATACGCAATTTTGGGTGAATTCGATGGATTTGAAGTCAAAAAAAAGTTCTCCTATTGTGGCTGATTCAAGATTGGGGCTCTATTCAAGCCTATTGCCTTGTTCACAATCGGGGCCTTCGTTTTTAAGTAGCAGTCTCTCGGTTCCGAGAAAGAAACCTGGAAAAATAGACGATGTTCGCTCCAATGGCTGGCTCGATGAAATGAAATCTTCGTCACCCCCTCATAAGAAAATTATGAAAAGTTTCAATAACTCTGATGATGTCCCAGACGAGGCCGAAATTGATTATCACACTTGGATGGTATGTATTTTTTCTATCCTAAATAGATGTGTGACGAATTTTTTTTTTATTCAATCTCGTTATCCGTTTGGTTGCCAACATAAGCCAAGATTAACTAAATAGTTGGACTTAATTTGATGTTTGGTATCCCCAATAAATTGCCGGGTGACCCGCCAAAATTATGTAATCATGGCTTATCTTGCCTTGTAGTGTGTTTTTTTTGTTGGACGTTGCGAGCTCCAATAAAATAATTGGGTTTCATTAGACTATTTAATCTTATCTTGGCTAATCTTATCTTGCCAACCAAACGGGGCCTTAATGTAATAATTATCCTTGCAGAATAGGTATCCATCAGCTCTGAAATCGTTCCAGCTAATAATGGATCGTGCACGAAACAGGAAACTAGTGATGTTCCTAGATTATGATGGAACACTTTCACCCATCGTAGACGATCCTGACCGAGCTTTCATGTCGAGTGAAGTTAGACAACTGTTTTGCAATTAAATATTGTTATATTGCATTTTATTCGTATATGTAATAAAAGCAACGTGTCGTATTTCAGATGCGTTCTGCTGTAAGGAATGTCGCAAAGCATTTTCCAACAGCCATCATCAGCGGAAGAAGCCGGGATAAGGTAGATACACAATAAATTTCTCTATGACATAAGTATATTAAATTGGCTTAATCCCACTTTGCACCCTTGAAACGTAGCATTTTGACACTTTGCACCCTTCAAAAAAATTAATAGCACTTTACACCCTCGAAACCACAATAAATCCACTCACAGTGCACCTTGAACTGAATATTTAAAACTTAATAAGAAAAATCTCATTATATTTCCACGGTTCAAAATAACAAATTTTCTTTCGAGTGTGAAAAGTGCGAAAAATTAAAATCACATGAATAACTAAAAAAATTATATTTTCTTACCAAAAAAAAATATTTTCTCACTAAATTGTTTGATTGATGGATCTTTTATTGTAATTGGTGAAAATATTTGGTAGAAATCATTGAAAGAAAATATAATTTTAAATTACCTTCATTAGCTTTAAAAATCCATTCGGTGTGCATTATCAATGGTTTATTGTGTTTCGAGGGTGCAAAGTGCTATTAATTTTTTTCGAGGGAGCAAATTGCAAAAATACTATATTTCAAGGGTGCAAAGTGGGATTAAGCCATATTAAATTCGAATTGCAGAATGTAACATTTTTTGAATTAATATAGTTATTTTCCTATTTTTCAGGTTTATGATTTGGTAGGACTAAAAGAACTCTACTATGCCGGTAGTCACGGCATGGATATCATGTTCCCTGCCGAAGATGATGTGTCTCAATGCCATCTCAATTGTGTTAAGTGTACTGACCTTCAGGTATATAATCTAACCACTCAACTAACCATAGTTAGGTGTTGTTCAATATTTACATTTATATTCACAAATCGGGAGATTTCACTGTAACAGGGCAAGGAGGTAAATCTTTTCCAGCCCGCTAGTGAATTTCTACCGATGATAAGCGAGGTGTGACACTTTAAACCAATCAACCCGAACAGATCGATTAGTTTTATAGCTCACGATTAATTCTTTAACTTAAATATTCAATTCTTAATCAGGTTTTCAGAACCTTCGTCGAGATTACCAAAGATATTAAAGGTGCAAAAGTGGAGAATCATAAGTTTTGCGTCTCCTTACATTACCGCAATGTAGATGAGAATGTAAGAATTCATTCGATCCTCGTCCTTTCAATATCTCGATTGCATATGTTATTAATAATATGTATTATTTTTGCTATGTTATTTTAAATTCCAGAGTTGGCCTTTAATTGCACAACATGCTCATGACATTTTGAAAGACTATCCTCGATTACGACTAACTCACGGCCGAAAGGTAAATATTTGCAAATATTTCAGAATGAATACGATTTATTTCAATGTCTTTATTGATTTTGTTCAATGAATAGGTTTTAGAAGTTCGCCCAGTGATTGACTGGGACAAAGGAAGAGCTGTTGAATTTCTTCTTGAATCCCTAGGTTAGTAATTAACCTCCGATCGAAATCAAAGAAAATATTTAATTGTTGAGAGATTTGAATCTAAATAAACAGTTAAAAATGTAATCTTGCAGGATTTAGCAACCATAGTGATGTGCTCCCGATTTATATTGGAGATGACCGAACAGATGAAGATGCATTCAGGGTAAGACATACATAACTCATAATTTGATAATCTTGTTAAGGATGAAATGATCTAGTTTATCAATTAGTAATGTGGATTTATTATTACTTGTAATATTTTTTAGGTGTTGAGGAAGAGTAACCGAGGTTATGGAATTCTCGTATCTACTGTCCCAAAGGAGAGCAATGCTTTCTTCTCTCTGAAAGATACTTCAGAGGTGAGAATTCAAAACAATATGATTTTTGGCGAACCAAGTAACTATCCTCCTTTGATTAAAAAAAAATAAAAAATTGTTTCTTCTTCGTTTTTACCATGATGTTCTATATTCGATATGAGAAGTCATAGCTAATAAGTATGTGCAGGTTCAAGAATTCCTGGAGTCACTAGTGAGAACGGCACAAAAGGATGCAAAGATAGTTGAGATGGGCATAGAGTCGTCATCATTTGATACCGAATAAACACATTCAAATTTATATTAAGAGGCTACGGCTATATTATTTGCTTCAGCCTTTTTTGTTCCCTCTCTTTATTCACTATTATTTTTTTTTTTTTAATTTTTTTTGTCTTCTTTTTTCCTAGTCTTTGTGGTAATATTTGGTTTTTGATTCTTGTGTTTTAATGCTTGATGTATGATGATATTTTTTTTTTTTTTTTTTTTTAGTTTTTGTTTAATCTCTAAGCAGGTTTAATTTTATTGAATTTAGTTATATATTATAACATGTGGACTTAGACAAACATAACAAGTGTACTTACATGTCTCATCATCATTTTATTAAGTTGTGTTATTATATATTCTCAACGGTTAATTTTACTTGGGGCATCTCCAGGGTTGGAAGCAAAAACGTGGGATGCTATATCTCAAGATAAATAGTGTTATTGCTAGCTACTTTTTACTATACGATTCCAACCATATCATCTATTTTATATCATTCAATTATAATTTTTAAATTATTTATTTGATACTTTAAACATACCCCTTTCTAACAAACTTATTATTTTAATATTATTTTCATTTAGCATTTTCATGAATAGTGAATGATATATATAGCTTTTGTAGATGGGATTTTAACTTGTTGGCTAAATTATATATCTTCCTTTGTAGTGAGTTTTTTCTTCCTCAAAAGCTATATTTGCTAAATTATTGCTTTTACTATCTCAAAGTGCCTATAGTTGGAGATGCCCGAGGAAACCTAGTGAAGTTATAGTACTTCCCCTTCTAGAAGAAAAACAAAGTCGTATAACCCTCCCCATTTACATGGGGGATGTTTGGTTATGTTTCCAAAACGAATTTCTAGTTTTCAAAATTTCTGATGGAAAAAGTAGATTATTGGTTTTTGTGTAGAAAATGGGAATATGTTTGGATGAATGTGTATTTTTAGTTTTATGTAGGTGTAGAAATGAGAATATATTTGGTTGTGGTGAATTTTCTCTACGAAAGTACGTGCAAAAGTAGAATATAATGATTGATGATGATGATAGTGATGATGATGATGATTATAATAATAATAATAATAATAATAATAATAATAATAAA